TGAGTACACAAAAACAAACTTACAACATCAAATATAAATGAAATACAAAATGAAATCATTAATTTACAAGAATAATACATAAAAAACTTTCATTTACATAGCAGACAAATATAGTTTTAATAGACTAAGAAATAAATAAGTAGTCATGTTCCATTTTAAATTCTACGTATTATATCTCTACGATCAATGCTTTTTATGAGTATTTAAAGCAATGAAAACCCAATAAATCGTTTCGATAATCGGTATATTGAGTAAGATTATATAGTAGATGTCACAAATATCCGACAGACGATATAATCTAATGTATGATTGACTCAATTCATTTACCCATCAAGTTTCTTTTCAGTTCTGTATATATGTATATGTATGTATTCTTCTTATCGTGAGACTATCAATCACCTTCATCTTATATAAATTAAGATGTTAACTTCCGTTTCAAATAGTGAGTCTCCTTCAGCTTTATATACAAATTTAAATAAAAAGACAACAAATGATTTAACATCTTCTCCTAGTAGTTATGTTAGTCTATTAGATTCATATGATACACCTGGTGAGATTTATTGATTTAATAAACTTTAAATATATTTATGTATATTGAGTAGATGGTTCTGTTTTATCTATTCCTCAGCGCGCCACATTGAATTGGAGTCAAACATTGAATACATTACGTCAATGGAGTACAAGAACATTAAAATATACTCGACAATTATTTCAAGAACGTATGGGACATGTTATTCCAACCCAAGATATAGAACTTGAACAGAATATTCAGGTTTATCCAAAATAAAATAAATTGATTCGAAATAACAAAAATCTTTTTCTTTTTTTTTAGCTTGTTCGTGAAACAAAACAACATTATGAACATATATTAAAAGAAGCACGTCAAATGAGTATTTATTTTGCCGGTCTTCTTCAAACACAACGATCTCTCGGTTAGTTTTAGTTTTTATTTTATTTATTTTAATAAATAATAATTGATACATTTTAGGTGAATGTTTTAGTGAATTACAACAAATATCTTCTTCATCAGATGATCTTGTTGATCAACTTGTACGAAATAGTGAATGTCAAAAAGTAATTGCACTTAATGGTGAAACACTTCTAAGTAAATTAATTTCTTTTGATTTTTTTTCTTTTATTTTATTTAAGGTCGGGAAAATTCAAAACTTGAGCAGAAATTTTTTTTGAATAATTTATATATGGTTCGATAGAGCTCATCAAACTGTATAAGAAAATGTATTTTAAAAAATTTTGTCTTAGTTTTTTTACAAAAAAATCCCCAAAACCTCTATTCCTGTTGTCTATGTAAAAATTGTTTATTTTTGAGAAATTTTATAAAAAAAAATTTTCCTTCTTTCTGATGAGTCCAGAAATATTATTTTCTTAGTCAGCACGGAAAACTATGCATAGAATAGTATTTTTAATCTTACTTATGTATACGATGATCATTTTTTTTTCTATATATGAATGACAATAGATAGGTGTCACTAGCATAACTTATAGACCTATCTAGTTTTTTTTGCAAGGAGATAAAATTAAATAATATATCCCATTCGATTCAGCATCAAAAAAGCTACAAACTTATGCATAGACCTTTTTTTTTACTTTTGTTTTATCTTTTAAAAAAATTATTTTCTTCAAATATACGCCATATAGTTTTGGGGATTTTTTTTTGTAAGAAAAGTAAGACAAAATTTTTAAAATACATTTTCTTATACGGTTTGATGAGCTCTATCGAACCATATATAAATCGTTAAAAAAAAATTTTTGCTCAAGTTTTAAATTTTCCCGACCTTACAAAATTTTAATTTAGATTCAATGAATATATTTATTGATAAACTACATACCTTAACAAATAAAACAATAGAAGATACTTTATCAACAATAAAAGTATATGAAAATGCAAGGTCTGTTATTTTTGCATTGAGATAATTTCTATTGAATAAATTTTAGAACTAAATATGATGCTCATCGATATGATTATGAAGTATTATTAGCTCGAAATAATCAATCAGATGATAGACTATCTTCAGCAGATCAACATATACAACAACAATATGAACATTTCAAACAATCTTATGAAAAATCGAAATCTGATCTTACAATTAAATTAAAATTATTGGATGAAAATAGAGTATGTATTCATTCACGGTTAAAAACAAATCAATTCTTTGTATTTTAAATAGATTCAAGTAATGAAGCAACAGTTAATCAATTTTCATAATGCTATTGGTGCTTATTTCTCAGTAAATCGACAACAACTCAATCTTTAAATATTTTTTTAATTATATTTTTTATTTGTTAAAATCTACACTCTTATTGTTAACTTGTTTTCTCCAGCTATTTCATATTTTTTATTAAGATTTTTTCGACTTAACATTTCTTTCTTTTGTTTTTTGTATTTTAGTAACGACATTATTTTTAATTTTTATTGACATTGAGTATTGTGAACTTATTTATTGTTTTCGTTTTGTATTGATATATAAATAAACGGAAAATAATTGATAAAGAATTTTTGATTGAAATATTTTATTCAATTTAATTATCAGAGAAACGTTTAACTACTTTTATAACTTACTTTTTGGAAACTAGAATTTTATTTTTTTTGTGTTCAACTAAAGAAAGTGACATAAAGAGTCAAAGTGAGTATTTTTGTATCTGACTTTTCTTTAACAGTTTTTAATAGACAGTAAAATGCATTGTCTTAATTAACTATTAACAAAGTTCTATAACAGTTTGTTATATTATAATAAACTGTTTCATTAAGAATGATTTAATACTTGCGTCTATGTAGTTAATTAATAAATAAAATAATATTATTGAAAATAAACGTGAAAAATGTTTTTGTTACTTATAAAAGTTTCTATATATTAAATTAAGTATTATATTTATATATTTTTCAAAGTTTTCTTTTTCTTTAAAAACGATAAAATACATATGCATTTCAATCATACCATTTTTATAATTTTCGCTGGAATTAATTGTGTTACAACTACGCAGAAAGTTCTGGATAGTATTCAATGCGGTCATATCTTCTCTGTTTGTATTTTCGTTATCATAGGGAAAAATAAAGAAAGAGAATTGCCGAGGTGCATATACATCAAGAAACTGCCACGTCGCTCAGATTGCGAATATATTACGAACACAGATAACTGATTATATACATGAACAAAGAAATAAATAAATACGTCTTTAATTTTCTCTCTTTTTTCTTTTCTATATAGAAAATTCTAGAATAGGCATGTAGATCTATAAATAGTACGCATTTTAAGTTTATTCTACATTCATCACTTCGATCACAAGTTATAGTACCAAGAAACTACTAGTAAGATATTTTTTCGGCTCCTATTTAGTTGCTAAGTATTTACTTGATTACATCGATAATGAAGTTTATTCCATCATGATTTTTATTAGAATAAAATAGTTTTATTTTGACGAATATAAAAAAGAACTTACATAATATATAAATAGCAACATTTACAAAATCCATTTGGTGAACAAGATGCAATTAATATACTACAATTAACATTGTTAAAGTTCAAACATGATAAACCTGTGAGTCCTACGGGTGTCACTTTAACTTTGCTTTAATAGTTAAAGTTAATGTAAAAACACTTTCCACTTTAACTTTATTTAAAGTTAAAGTATTTTATTATATTCCTTTAGACGGAAAATAGCACACGATTAGTAAACTGTTAATTGAACAAGATACATTCTCAATTGAATTTGCATCAATGGAAGATTTTATCGATCGTCTGTGTTCGGTAAGTGTATCTTTCTACTTTATTCATTTCTATATTTATTCTTCTTAGAAAAGAAATACAGAAACTGTATTTAAACAAATTTCAAAATAAAACATGGGGCTAATAGCTGGCACCCAGCACCTCAGCACTTGCTCAGCATCTAAGCACCTGGTCAGCACCTCACCCAAAGAGGTAAGAGCTGGCAATGAGCACCGAAAAAAACCGAACAGGTGCTAAAATGCTGCGGCAGGTACTGAATAGGTGCTGAGCAGGTGCTAATATGCTAAATGCCAGCTATTATCCCTTGGCTCAGCACCTATCCAGCACCTCAGTAACTGTTCAGCACCTGTTCGGTGCTGGGTGCCAGCTCTTACCCCCTTGAAATAAAACCAAGCATAATCTGATGATTTTTCTTTTTCATTCAAAGATTTTTTTGTATGTTAGCACATTTTATTCTGTGTGAAAACATTTTCTGATTATGTATTAAAAGATCATTAAAATAAGAAATTATGTAAAACAAATAAACTGTTATAATCATCCTTTTTTTCTGGGCAATTAAACAATCTTCTGGTAATTGTGCATAATAAAGATTTATCTTGGAATAAAAAATCTAATTACTTACAAATATACAATCTTTAATAATAAAATATGATGAACGTCTGATATACTTTCTTGCAAATATCTCCACATTCAATGATTTCATAATATAATATATAAACAGTGATATTAATAAGTGATATCCTTTGTTCTTGCAGCTACTATCTGTTACTTAGGGTGTGGGTAATGGATGAGAAGAATATACGCACTCACACTGATAATTTGAACTTTTTATATTTATTAATTTTCTGTAATAAAAATTAAGATTTTAATGCGTCTGTATTTCATGCTAATTTCTCTTCAGTAAAACTCATTTTGTCATGTCGAAAAAAAATACTTGTCGAATGTTGATATAAGTAAAGTTTTCTCTCGTCTTTTCAAGTATGACAGTGGTTGAAGTGAATGAGTCACATTTTTATAAATCGTTACAATGAGCGATTTTTTTCTGTTATACAGAATGAAGATTGAAGAATTTTTTTTTCAACAGAATGTTAATCAAAACATTTTTGTTTGATTTTTTCATTGTATTGTCGGTTTGGTCATGCCAGCGTCATCCGTTCTTTTTCTTCCAAAAATTTCATTGAAAACGAAACAAAAAGACCTTTTTTTTCAAGTAACATGGGTACAAAGTTTTATTTCAGATATTGATTTTAATTCATAATGTCATCCAATGAAATGTTCAATGATAGATACTCGATGTCACCATCTTATAAAGATCTTGTTATTGATTTTTGGAATACAATTAATTGGTATTATTCAAATGATGAGAAGATATCATCAAAAACAGTCGTGTCGAACTCAATTCAATCGTTTAGTTTTAATTGTTTTGATATTTTTAGTATTATTTTCATTGCATTTTTATTTACATATATACGATATGCATTTGGATCAATTGTATCTTTGGTTTGTTTATTTACTATAAAATAATTATTAATTGAATTTTTTGATTTTTTTCATAGAAAACTATCAAACAATTTCAATTGACAGTTCCAAATGAGAAGAAATTTTGTGAATCCGCATGGAAATTACTTTTTTATACTTTGGCATGGTCTTATTGTTTCTATTTAGTTAAATATCAATATAATTATTTCGATGAACCATATTTAGTTTGGGATAGTAAAATAACTTTTTATTTTTTCTATAGCCATAAAAATTCTTGTTTTTTTTAGATTGGTCAGCTGGCATGTTAGTTCCATTTAATATTAAAATTATTTATTTTATTCAATGTGGTTTTTATTTTCATTCAATTTATGCAACACTTTATTTAGATTCGAGACGACATGACTTTTATATTATGATTCTTCATCATGTTGTTACTGCAACACTTATTTTTGTTTCTTATGCAATACGGTAAAAATGAATTTTTATGAAGAAACAACAATGAAATTTTTTTTGTTGTTGTTGTTGTAAAGTTATCATAGAATTGGTTTATTAGTACTTTGTTGTCATGATATTGCTGATATTTGGCTTGAATTATCAAAAACTGTGCGGTATCTTAATACACGACAAAATAATCGATGGGAACAAGCTTCTTACATTAGTTTTTCTATGCTTATCGTCTGTTGGTAAAATTTAATCTTTTTCATGTTCGAAAGAAAATCAATTTTTTCTCTCTTAAAGGTTTATCTTTCGATTGTATTGGTTTCCTTTAAAAGTTCTCTATTCAACTGGAGTTGTTGCTGTTTATCGTACTTTAGATCAAGGTCTTCATCTTTATTTACCATTTAATATTCTTCTTTGGATATTATTTATTCTAAATATTTATTGGTTTTTTGTAAGAAACATTTTTTTGTGAATAATCATTTTACAATTCTTTTATTTAGTTGATACTCAAAGTACTTCAGAATGCACTCTTTGGGTCTTTAAATCAATCAGGTGATTGCAGAGAAGATGATGAAGAAAAGTGAGTTTTGATTTTTTTTTATACATCATAAATTCCTTGAAAAATTATTGTAGATTATCACCATCAAATAGCGCTGATTTACAGAAAAAACGAACGAATTAAACTAAAACTTATCATTGCTTGCTTCACTTCTTTCGATTCTATACTAAACCAAACAGTTATAGAAATCAAATAGTTTTTTGTCTCGTATAAACAGCGTGTGAAATTTATCAATATAAGAAGTGAAAGTCTATCGTAATAGATGTTCTTTTGCGAAACAAAAATATTAATTTTTCGTCATTCATCAATAGACAAAATAATTTACTTCAAAAGAGTTTGCAACGAACACACTTGAATATGACAGAAGTTTTATCTGATACAAAATTCAGATATAAGTTCTTAAAATAATATTTCAAACGCATAATTAATTATACGTGAAAACAATATTGGAAATATTAAACATTTTATGGATATTAAATATTATAATGTTTCTTGACATTAATAGAACTCTTACTACTTTACATTGAAAAACAATTATATTGTTTCTATACAATAATAGATATTGTCATTCTGTGCTGTTTTGAATTACGAATAGATTCATGTACGAATATATTGCTTTCTATATTTAGAACAATATGACAATTTCAAATTCAGTTCGTTCATGGCTTTTACTTTTTTCTCTTATTCTTTGTTATTCGATAAAAATGCGAATATTTCGTTTGATTGTTCATAATCAAGTCTTGATTATTATTTATCTGTTAAGTTTTATTCTTGGTCTTACTGTTATCATTTAGTTTAGACATTTCTATTGGACATGTTTAGTTCTTTCAACTACGATTGCTTTTTGTTATACTTGGGTTTTTATTGATTCTGCTATATGCGTTATTGTAAAATATTTAATAGCTTAGGCGTCAATTGGGTGTGGATGTGATTATCTTTATTTTCAATCTACACCCACATCCTCAATCATGATTTTAGACCGATAATTTTCGTCTTTGAATGTACATCAGTAGACTTAATTAGTCTCAAATCGAATCCAGAAAATTCATCATATCATTAGCCTTGGCAACTAAAGTTTTTGTCAGTATAGAATATCAGATAATTCAATTATATAATGTATATTGTAATCTAATGTATTCTTCTTTTCGTATATTGAAATTGATGCGAACAATATAAAATATTCTCATTCCAGTCTCAAGTCAAAAGACTAATAATTCAGAGTTTTCTTTCAATCTTACTAAAGTAAAAAAAAAGATGTCTCTACTATACAAATGTAACATAAAAAATGTTATGATTGGTTTAATATCTTCCTTCTGTTACTTTACTCATAAAAAAAGTCTATGTTGATATGTAATTCTTATTATTTTATTTCATATTCTATAATTGTTGATTCAAAATAATAATGACTGAATTATTATCAACAATGTCCCAACAACATCGTGAACATTTAGCACAATTACAAAATCGTCTTTTAACAGTTAGTTTTATCTTTTCCATTGTTATTAGATTTTTACTATAGAAATATTTTAGACTCCACTTGATAGTATTCCAATAGATGTTTACAAAGAACTTATGATAACATATTTATGTTTAGCAAAAATGTAAGTCACATCATATTTATTCAATATCATTTTCTTTAACAAAACATTTCCTTTTAAATTAGAAATGAAGCAAAATTTCTATGGGAAAATCTTTCAGCTCCAATGAAGACGGTATGAAAAATAAATTAGAATATATGCATATTATATTTGAATTTGTTAGGATAAAGAATTTCAATTCTTAGCATCATTAGTATCATTACTTAATCTGAAACAATATGGAGATTTTTATAAATTATGTCAAACAACAACTGAAAATGGTTCATCATCCCAAACTATGACTCTAAATATTCAACAATTAATTTGTTTGTTTCATTTTTATTTTTTAATTTATTTGAAAATATGAATTTTAGCTCGAGTAACAATACAAAATGTTGAATTAATTGAACTTGCATATAAATCAATATCATTTGATGATTTACAAAAAATTTTTGGTCTTAATACAAAAATGGTTGAACAAATTTGTAATGAACGTGGTTGGCAAATTGATGCTGGTGGAGTTTATGTTTCACCTAAACGAAATGGTTTGTTCAATAAAACAATATTCTATTTGAAATTTCTTAGTTTTTTCTTGTTGTATAGATAATATGAATGCAGTATCAAATTCAAACTTGGCTAAGCTAGTTGAACTTGTCTGCTTTTTGGAACGATAAATTATCAGTAGACTTCTTTTCTTTCTTTCAATTGTCTTTTATATTTTAATAAAGAGAAACATTTATGTTCCAAATATATATACAATTCAATGAAATCAAACTAATCATCACAGGAAAAAAGTATTTTACTCTAGTGTTTGGATTCAAACAATAAACATAGTCATCTATAATAAAAATAAATATTGAAATTGAGAATATTTTGTACAGTAATATGTATGAACTCTTCTAGATATTGATCAATCATATAAGTAGACTAATTGCAGTGACGTGATCATTTAATTATGAATTCTTTACTTGAAAAAGATGTTAGTTATCTTGTATGAAGTAGAAAGGTTTGAGAGAATGTATGTTTATCGTTTTTTGTGCTTATGCAACAGTGAATCCATTGAAATCGTTTTATTTATCCTAACATATATTATATAAATAATTTCTAAAGTAATGAATAGAAACTTAATGCAATACTGTCTATTGCTATGTTGATATAAAAGCTCGTACTTTTCGAAAGCACTATTCTTTCTAGTTAATTTTTGACCTTCAGCAAAAGTGTTTGAATTTTCTTTCTAAATGGTAGATATCTCCTGCATTTCCCCCCGTTATACGTATATTCGATCTTAAGTAATTGTCTACTTCAACAAAAACTATTGCTCTCAGTATAGATGAATATTTTTTATTTCTCAAATGTTAATACAAAAAAATAGAACTTGAGATATGAACATAAAAAGATGAATTTTAGATATTAATCAAAAGACAACTCGTGGTCTGAGTAGGAGAAAAGGGGAAAAGTTTGCATCATACAACTAATACATAAGAAAAACTATAAATAAAATGTTAATATTTTAGAACGTCACAAGAAAAGCGTGAATCAAGCATAGCTTAAAAAATTAGTCTACGATTTATTCGTTATAAAATCATTCTATAACGGATTTTAGTAGCCATATCACGTACAAGATCAATTATAGAATTTGTTTTTATGTTCTAAAACATTACTGGGTAATTTGTCGTTTCTCTATTACATATTTCTGAGTAATGTTGAATTATGATTGAACTTGCATATATAAATCAATATCATTTGATGGTTTATAAAAACTTTTTGGTCTTAATACAAAAATGGTTGAACAAATGTGGAGATTTTATGAATACATTAAAGATATGAATTGAAAAATCAAATAAGATTTTGAATTCTAATTTATGAAAATTCTTAAATCTAAATAAGAAATAAACTAATTATTGTAATAACATCGTTTAACTGTCAATTATTTAAGTTGAAAAGATAATATTGATAAATTCTTTTTCTAAAAAAGACATGTCAGTTATTTGGATGTAATAAAAGAATAAATATTTGTGGCATTAGCCTGATAATATTGTATAAGATAGTACCGTATACACACACACATATATATATATATAGACATCGGCACTTGCCTAGATTAGATTGTTTCTTTTTTCCTTTTTTTTCCCTCTTTAATAATAAAGATCAGTATCATAATAGCAAGGAGATGTATACTTATTCCTCTGAAGAATAAATTCTTAGATAAATACATCTAGTGAACAAAAGACAAGATTATAATGAATGATGAATCAATATTATCAGATGATACAGATGATGATCGAACACAAAATGATCTTTTATCTTCATCGATTAGTTCCGATGATATATTGGAAACTTCTTCAATCGAACCAATGCAAAATTCATTAATATCACTTTTATCAACGGAAGATATTGAACAATGTCTTTATGTTTTAAATATAAATTGGCGTAAAAAATTTACAGTAAGTTAAACAAAGAAAAAAATTATATTTCTTGAAACAAAACAAAAAAAAAAGAAAGTCGATTTCGTACTCGTTAATCATATTCTATGAGGGCATATATATATATATGTATATATATATCACTGATTTGCTTGTGTATACTACTGTCATCAAACTATGTGCGTCAATCAACATAAAAACAACAGATAGAAAAAAAAAGAAAATTTTTTCATCATCTCTTTTTTGTTCTATTTCTAGTCTTATTTGTATTGTTATTCTATATTTAAGAAACAAAAAAAACGATCATTATTTCTAGATTTATTATAGAAAAAAAAGATAATTTAAAAGAAGCATCTTTGTATTTTTCTTTATGAAGAAATTCTTTGTCTATGAGAAGAATCATTGATGATGTCGTCAAGCCTGACGAAGGGCAAAATAAAAGAGCACACCGATGCCACCAGCAATTTCTTCTCTCTTCTCTCTTAGCTCATCAGTAGATAACGTATAGATATTGTGAGATAAAAGAACAAGAATCAGTCTCATTGTAAATGGCATCAACAAGAAGAGAATCATGTTATGTCCTTCCTCCTTAATCGTCCGTTTTTTGACAATACTTATGGATAGGCTATGATCTTATTCGGTTGGCATATGTATCGACATTTGTTAATCTATGATGGCTACAGAACGAATCATTAGAACGAGAGAGAGAGAGACACAGAGACAAAGACAGAGAAACATGTTTTCTTTCTTTTTTTTCTTGTAGAAGTAATACTGATGAAGATTCTCTTTCTATATCAATGTATTCATATAATAACAACTAACAACAAAACATTTCTATTTCTATTTTTTTTTCTTTAAAGATTTATTTATCAAATAATCAAGATCAACAACAAATAAATTCTTCTTATTCCCACGACAATATTTGCAATTATAAATTAAATCCATTAAATTCTTATTGGGATCATTCAGGAGGATCATTACCATCAGTTTATTTCAATAATAATGATAATAATAATAATAATATTTTATTAAATTCTTTAACAACTGATAATCGTTTAAAACCTTTTGCTGAAAGATTACTTGAATTAGAACATAAAATACTTACAGGAATTAGAGAAAAATCAAATGAACAACAAACATCATCAACATCGCTAAATAATTTTCAACAACATCGATCATCATTAAATAATATTAAACAAACATTTTCAAATGATAAGAAACATTTATATTATATTGCATTGATTTCTTATCCAAAAAAAAAGTAAAAGAAATTTGTTTTATGAAAATAATTCCTTGTTCCTAAATATTTTAGTTATTTTTCCAAATTAAAACTTCGTCGTATTGATACTTCTCGACAATATTCATTGAATGAAATAAATGGTATGTCATCAATAGAAATATTACCAACTGATTCTCGATCATCTTCTCCATTGTTTTTCGAACCACGACGACATTCAATAACAACAATAAATACATCGGATCATAATTTAACTATTGAAAAATGTCAAGATAAACAAACAAAATTTGAAATAAAAACAAATACATTTAATAGAAATATTCAACTTAAAACTAAACAAGATGAAACAATTTATACGAATAATCAATCGTCATCAAATACAAATAAATCATTTGCACCACATAAAATTCAAGTTCATCATCCAACGAAATCATCAAGTAAATTCTGGTTTTTTTTAAAAAGAAAACTTTTATTTAAATCTTTTCTTTTTTTTTGTTTAGTTGTGAATAATTCTCTTCAAAGTATTCGTGTTTGTGTTAGTTCATCACCTTATGATAAAGAATTTATTCAAAAAATTGAAACACAATCTCCAAGTTATTCATCAATTCTATCAAATATTGTTACAGATAATCATCCTAAAGAACAAACAAAATCAAATGAAATAGAGGAAGAAACATTTGATCGTCGTCCACTTCTTGATCTTATTAATCAACTTAATCAAAGAAATGTATCTAATCAAGCTGAAAATCATTCAAATAATCTCACAAGAACATCTTCAAATATTTTACCACCAAAACAAAATTCAAATAATCTTACAAGAACATCTTCAACATCTTCAAATATTTTACCACCAAAACATATCACACCTTTTAAACCAGTTATTCTTCGGAAAAAATCTCAGGTTTATTTTACTTTTTGTTTCTAATTAAATATTTTCTATTTTGATTTAATTAAGAAATCAATTGATCGTTTTAATTATCTTAATAATATTCAAGAAAGTTCTCCATCAAGTCCATCATATACACGTCGAAATGGTGTTGTTCGAAGTTATACAATCCCAAGTCCAACTGATGTAAATAAAAATTTTAATCAAATATCTTCTCAAGATCCAATAATATGTCAATCAACACCACAATTAAATTCATCTGATCCATCAATTGAATCTTCAAATTCTACAACTATACAAGATAATTCTTCATTATCAACAAGTGCTATTAGTTTAACTAATACATTAAATCCTAATGTAACTCCTACGTCTTGTGTCACAATTGATGACAAAAATGAGGTATATTTATTTGTTATTTTCTTTCTCATAGATTTATTATGACATATACCCATAACAACATATTCGTTGATTAGACGAGAAAAACAAAATTCTTCTCTTTTTCTTTTCTTTTCTTTTCTGCATATATTATTGAGTAACATATTAAACATATCATAGATATCATTAACGTATGTCAGACAAAAATAGATTAATTAAAACAAATTTAATACGTGCATCAACTTTAGTTATTGATGATCAAATTTCAAATTCAACGAGAAATCTCTATGCTAAAAGACGTCATCATACAGAACCACAACAAGAATCTTCTTCTTATCAAGTCTTTTTTTTTGTTTATTTCATTTTTTTATTTTTATTTTATTATTTTAGGCTAAACGGAAAGCAATTGCTATGCAAATGTATGATACAGAAAAATCATATGTCGAAGCTCTCAAAAATCTTGTTACAGTAACTTTGTTTCACGAAGAAAAAAATTAAAATATTTTTTTTCTCTCTCTCTCGTTTTTAGAAATATTATTTACCAATGAAAGATAAAAATATTGTTTCCAATGATCTTATTAATGATATATTTTATAAAATACCAGAAATTCATATTCATCATACGGTATTTTCTATTCTCTATTAAATGATTTGTTTATTAGAAAATTCTGTTACGTATTGTCAGAGAAAATGATTAACTTAGAAACTAATAGATAATACATTGTAGAAAGATCCTTGAACATTCTAGAATGTTTATGAGAATTTATTCTTCTAGTAAATAAAGAAATTTGTCGTTAAATATATAATTATTTAACTATCATGTCATATCAATTTCTAACTTAATCATTTTCTTTGACAGTATACAACAGAACTTATCTCTTCCTTTCCAAACCTTCATAACTCATAATCTCTCATGAAAATATCATAGTTATCTATTAAGACATTGAAATCTTTTTTATTTTTCAAGGCATTTTTAATTTCACTTTCACAAAAATTAAGTCAATGGAATAATAAACAAACAGTTGGTGATATTTTATTACAAATGGTAAATAAATAAAATAAAATAAAATAAAATAAAAATCTATTTTTTGTGATATAGTTTACACGAACATCAGTTATTGAAACATATACAGGTTTTGTTAATAATTATAAAACAGCTCAAATAGCAATTCGTTTATGTCGAGATTTTTCTTCATTTAATAAATTTCTTGAACAACAAGCACGTGATCATCGTGGTAAATTAACATTAAGAGATTTAATAATTCAACCGGTGCAACGTATTCCAAGATATGAATTATATTTAAAAGATTTTCTTAAATGTACAAATATAAATCATCCGGATTATCAATTATTGCTTAAAGCACAATTAGAAATTCATTCATTAGCTAAACAAATTGATCAAGTACAAAAAGAAGTTGGCTCAGCTGAAGTTACTCTTACAAATAATTCATTAGAAGTTGTTCAAGATATGATTGAAAATTTAACGGATGTACGTTGATTTGTTTTCTTCGTACGAAAAAATATTCTTTTCTTTTAATTTTAATTTTAGTTGGTTCATATAAATCGATATTATATTTGTCATGATGTTGTTACAGTTCAATCATCATCTGGATTAAAAAAAGATCGATGTATTTTTTTATTTAATGATCTTATTATTATCACAAGTTGTAAACGAAAATATGCAGCTTTAGCAAAAAAAACAAATAATTCTGTTATTGTGTAAGGCAATTTTTTTTTGAAGAAAAAAATAACTTTTTATTGAATTTATTTAGGAATTCTCCATCGGGTAAACAATATATTGATAATGCGAAACATAAATTAATTATGAAAATTCCACTTGATACCGTTGATCTCGCTGCAGGTAACCTTTTTTTAATTAACAATTCTCATTTACTAACAAATGAAAAAGACAATATTGACATCCAGTCTTTTTGGATAATCGTTCGAAGATGTATTATCTAACAGCCAACACAATATAAATTATGAGTTAGTAATTACAGGAACAATCAGATATTTGCACAAACATATAAAAGTACATTTCAGTAGGAATAAACTTCCTGACAGAAGTATAGAACTTTAATAGAAAACACCCTACAAAATCCAAAAAACAAAGATACTTGTGCAAATATCGAATAGTTTCTGTAGATACTGACTCGTGATTTATTCTATCCTCTTGGGGATATGAGACGTATATCTACATTCAGTTTCGAATGAGTAGAACGAAAATTATGTAGACTTTTGATCGTGCATTTTTAATTCTACATACTAGTGTAGGGCATGAATATGTCACTAGCAACATAGTGTAATATAACCATCTATACAGTGTTCGCGCAAAGTTCCTTTGCAATGAATATATTCTTTTTAACAATCATTGATTTTTTTCCATTCTGAAAACATACTAAATTGAAAACATGTTTTGAATATTTAACTATCGTGCAGAGAGTTTCTTCAAAATCTTATTTCTTTTATCAACACAAAATTTTAAAATGACTGAGCTCATTCTCCTAGACTACTCTCACACAGAGATGGGCAACTCCAACTCTGGAGTTGACACTTTAACTCCTTGGAGTTGGAGTTGGTGCTTTTTTCCAACTCTAGTGGATCTCATGACGTGTAAGAGAACAACAAAAAATATCCATCAGAGATGAGCAACTTCAACTCTGGAGTTGGAGTTAACTCCGGAGTTGACGCTTTTTTATCTGGAGTTGGAGTGGAGTTGTGAGAAACGAGATGGAGTTGGAGTTGCTCATCTCTGTTCTCTCACTATAAGAATCTCTATATAATCTCTGTGAGTTTATAGTGTTATAAATTTGTGTTAGTTTAATTGAGAACTAATTATGAATTACTTATAAAAGTATATTTCCATATAAATGAAATCGATCGAGATTTTTGACATTATGTATTACTGGCATCGATTTAATATTTATTTTAATTTCATTTAAAATTAGATCATTTAAAAAAGACGAGATCATTTGCATCAACACCTCCAACATTAAAAAAATCTCATTCAACTGCAAGTGCAACATTAGATAAACATCGACATTTAGAAGAAGATATATTTACACTTGGACAAATGTCTGATTTAGCTAAAACAATAACTGTACCTCATCAGGTTATTTTATTTAAATTAATTTTCGTTTTTTTTTATTTATTTATTTAATTTTGTTTTGTAGCAATTAGATGATTCAATAAAAGAAACTATTAATATTGTAAATAAATGTTTACTTGATGAAACAACAACAACGAATACAGAATCAAATAGTATCTCTGATAATAATAATAATCATAAATCGAATAATGTTCAATTAATATTAAATACAACGTAATTTAAAATAATTCTTTTATAAAAAAAAAAAAAATGTGAAATTTTTCAATTTGTAGAGATTGTATAGAAACAATTGATATTATTTTTTCATCATCTGAACAGAAGATTTCATGGGAAAAAAATTTTCTTGAAGCAAAAAAAATACTTCGTAAATATTTCTTTTGACAATTTTTTTTTCTGAAATTTCGTTAATTTAATTTCAAGTTGAAATCGCTGCTGGACAAAGAAATATTAGTTTTCAACAAGTTCTTACTCTTCCACATCATCGACCAGGAAGTCAAGTTCGTATTTTTTAATATTATTTCAAAAACATAAATTCAACTTAACTTCTCTTTAGTTTTCTTGTGGTACTGTTCGACCTTGTTCAAATGATGTTTGTTTATGTAATAATGAAGGCGAAATCTGTTTAATAAATATTGAATCTGATATAACAGTAAAAAGTTTTAATGGAATAACATTATCAGATATAAAATGTATTGCTTATATTCCATCAAATAAAATTCGTCAAAAAGCATCTTCAATAAAATCAACAAATCATGAACGTAAAACAAGTTATCTTACAAAACAACCATCAACAAATTCTGATGATACAATTCCTATTGATTCATTACTTGATAGTGATACAAGTGATGATGATGATATTAGTCATGATGATAATTTATCTTTAAATACAGTTGAAGAAGATTTTATTAATGAACAACAAATTAGTAAAGATGCAACATTATGGTTAGGAACAGAAAATGGAGAGTAAGATATTTTTCTTTATTTTTCTTTTAATTATTTTATTCTTCTCCAGATTATTTATTTATGAATGTTCACAAACAATGAAAAGTATTGCAAGAAAAAATGGGATAATTAAACAATTAAATTTATCAATTCATTCAATTTTGTTAGTTTATTTCGAGAGAGAGAAAAACAAAAGAAATTATTTTTTATTTTCTTTTAATAGATATACAGATAATAAAGTATTTCTTGCATTAAATCATGGAAAATTATGTGTTTTTAAAAGAGATCTAAGTAATTAGTATGATTTGATTTTCAAAGAAAGATTTTTTTTGTTTAATTTAAAGATGGATGTTGGGATTTTGATTCACCAATAATCCGATCAATTGAAGAAAATAGTCGATTATCAAGTAATAAAACAGGAGAAAATTATGATGAAGAAAATACTGATCCAATATCAATAATGACATTAGCTGCTGGAAAATTATGGTGTGCTATACGAGATAAAATATATGTTGTTTGTATTAATTCATTAAATGTTCAAGTAAATTTTAAAAATAATTTCTTCAAAAAAATAAAAAATTCATTTTTAGCATTCATTTATTGTTGATGATTGTCATCGACATGTCTCATGTATGGCAACAAGTGGTTCGTCTATGCATCATGTATGGATTGCATCACAAGGTTCACATGAAATTCGTCTTTATCATGCAACACATTTTGTTTGTTTATTTGAAACAAGTATAAGAACAGCAGTTACACAAAAATTACAAGGTTTTTTCTATTATCTGATTTTCTTTTCTAATAAATAAATGTTTTCTATTCATTTAGCATGTGATGATATAATTCGTGTTCATAAATTAGGTTGTCTTTATGTAAGTACACTTCATGTATGTAAAGAAATCTTATGGATTGGAACAAGTGCTGGAATAATTGTTAATTTAATAATTCCACAATTAATTGATTTATTATCAATAAATGGAACAAGTAAATTAACATTAAATTCAATTCAATTAAAAGGTTTAACATTTGGTCATGTTGGACCTGTTCGATTTATATTATCAACTGATAAAAATATTCTTTCAACAACCGATGATGGATCAACTATAAAAACATTTGTTATTACGATTGGAGATGGATTTGAAGATTTTAATAATAATGATGAAACATTAGGAAAAGATGATGCACTATCACATCTTATTCTTTGGAATTTATAACATTATATATAAGGCTGCTGGTCAGCGATCTTCTGTTTTTTTCCTCTTTCGATGTTTTTGAAGAATACAAAAAAAAAGAGAAATGTTTTCTCTTTTCGATATGAACTTGTTTAAGATGTTTTTAATAATAATAAATATATTTCGAATATATTATTTTATCATATACAGATCAATGGAAATATTTTTTCAAAATTTCTATTTATTTATAAAAGTAAAAGATTATAATTGTCATTGAATAGTTTGTAGATACGAATTGAAGATGATTATATTAGTAAAGTAAGAACTATGATAAATCAATTTTAATCATTAGACTTATTTAAAATATTTTTTATGAAAATTTTATACTTGAAAATCTAAGATAATTATATTTGATTAGAGATGAAAGAAAAAAAATGTCCTCTGATGATAAATAGAGATATAAAAATGTACATGATCATATAAAATAAGAAAGAACAGAAAAAAAACCGTGGTTTTAGTAACATACAGTTTGATATTTTATAAAATAATATATAATGATTACTCAGGCATAAAGTGTTCTCTAATAAAAACGTTGGTTTTAGACACGTAAATATAACCATTGATTTTTTTTACTCATTCTTACTCTATTCACACGTAGAGAAAGATAGATTTTGTAGTATTAAAAAGTTAAATTATCATTTTATTATGGTTTGTTATATACTTAATTAAATATTTTAAAAGATTTTATTTATTTAATTAGGCACCCAAAGATAATGAAGGAGAACTGCAGATCAATCCGATTGATGATGATACTAATATCATGGAAACAACGAAAAAAAAGAAAAAACCCGATAAATTATCAAAAAAGAAAGCAAAAGCAGAAAAAAAAGAAGTTAATATGGATGATCTCAAAAAAGAATTAGATATTGTAAGTTCAGATTATTTTATCAATCACAAATATCCTTATTTAATTTTAGGATGATCATAGATTAGCAATTGAAGAATTGTTACAACGATATGGAACAGATTCAAAATTAGTAAAATAAATTTGTTTGATATGAAATAAAGTTTGTAAATCTATCTCTAGGGTTTAACGGATGAAAAAGCAAAAGAAATTCTTGAAGCTGATGGTCCAAATGCGTTAACTCCACCAAAAACAACACCTGAATGGGTTAAATTTTGTAAACAAATGTTTGGTGGTTTTGCTTTTCTTCTCTGGATTGGTGCTCTTCTTTGTTTTATTGCACATGGTATTACAATTGCTACATATCATGGTGAAGCACCAAATGATAATGTTTGAAAAAAAAAGAAAATTCTTATTCTGTATAGAATTATATTTTATTTTTTTATAGTTATGGCTTGGTCTTGCTTTAACGATTGTTGTTATTGTTACAGGATGTTTTTCTTATTATCAAGAAGCTAAAAGTTCAAGAATTATGGATTCATTTAAAAATATGTAAGAAAAAAAAGATTTTTATTAACAAAAAAAATTGAATTTATTTATTTTTATTGTTAAGGGTACCACTGGTAAGAATTTCTAATGATTTTTATCTAATATTTCTATAAAAAAATGTATATTAGCAAGCAATTGTTATTCGAAATGGAGAAAGAAAAAATGTTAAATCAGAAGATTTAGTTGTTGGAGATATTGTTGATGTTAAGTTTGGTGATCGTGTACCTGGTTTGTCTTTTCTACTATTTTATTTTTCTACTATTCTTATCATTCTCATTAATCATAAATAGCGGATATAAGAATATTAGAAGCACATGGATTTAAAGTTGATAATTCATCATTAACTGGTGAATCCGAACCTCAATCTCGTTCAGCTGAAACAACACATGAAAATCCATTAGAAACAAAAAATTTAGCTTTTCTAAGTACATTTGCTGTTGAAGGTTTGTGCTTTATTTTTATTGTGATGATACAAAAAAAAAGAAATTTTTATAAATAGGTACAGCAAGAGGTGTTGTTATTCGTACAGGAGATCGTTCTGTAATGGGTCGAATTGCAAATTTAGCATCAGGTTTATCAACTGGTCAAACTCCGATTGCACGAGAAATAGCACATTTTATTCATATAATAACTGGTGTTGCTGTTTTTCTTGGAGTTTCATTTTTTTTCATTGCACTTGTTCTTGGATATCCATTTATTGAAGCTGTTATCTTTTTAATTGGAATTATTGTTGCTAATGTGCCTGAAGGACTTTTAGCAACTGTTACCGTAAGAATTTATTGTTAATTTTAAATTTTTCATAAATTTTCTTTTAATAAAAAAAGGTTTGTCTTACATTAACAGCTAAACGAATGGCAAAAAAGAATTGTTTAGTTAAAAATTTAGAAGCTGTCGAAACTCTTGGATCAACCTCAACAATTTGTTCAGATAAAACTGGTACATTAACACAAAATCGAATGACTATTGCACATATGTGGTTTGACACGCGAATTGTTGAAGCTGATACAAGTGAAAATCAACAAAGTAATTTTTATTGTTTTTTCCTTTTCTTTTTTTCGAAAGTTCCTTTTTTTTAAATATTAAGATATCACATATGATAAAGAGTCTTCAGGATGGTTAGCTTTATCACGTTGTGCAATGTTATGTAATCGAGCTGATTTTAAACAAGATCCAGATAATTTATCTAAACCAGTTTTACAACGTGAATGTAATGGAGATGCATCAGAATCAGCTTTATTAAAATGTGTTGAAATATCAGTGAGTAATTTCTTTCCTGAAACTTCTATTCTTCGGAAAAACTGATGAGAATAATGAATTGATATTTTTAGATTGGTAGTGTTATTAAATTTCGTGAATCAAATCCAAAAGTTTGTGAAATTCCATTTAATTCCACAAATAAATATCAAGTATCAATCCATGAAATGCGTACTGGAAATGATAATGATCATAGTCGAACATATCATTTATTAGTTATGAAAGGTGCACCTGAAAGAATTCTTGAAAAATGTTCAACTATATTTATTGATGGACAAGATATTGAAATGAATGATTGTAAACATTTATTTATTTAATTAAATAATAATTTGAATTATTTCTAAAATAGATTGGAGAAATCAATTTCAAAAAGCTTATATGGACTTAGGAAGTTTAGGTGAACGTGTTTTAGGTTTTTGTGATTTACGTTTACCAAGTAACAATTTTCCCAAAGGATTTCAATTTAATGGAGAACCACCGAATTTTCCTGTTGAAAATCTTCGTTTTCTTGGTCTTATGTCAATGATTGATCCGCCGCGAGCAGCTGTTCCTGAAGCGTTCGTTTTATATTAATATGAAAATTGAATTCTATTATTTTTTTTAGTGTTTCTAAATGTCGTTCTGCTGGTATAAAAGTAATTATGGTCACAGGTGATCATCCAATAACAGCAAAAGCAATTGCACGTGCTGTTGGAATAATATCAGAAGAATCTGAAACAGTTGAAGATATCTCACAACGATTAGGTGTCCCTGTCGAAGTTGTTAATCCACGTGATGCACGAGCTTGTGTTGTTCATGGAGGTGATTTAAAAGAAATGTCACCAGAACAATTAGATAATTTATTAAAAAATCATACAGAAATTGTTTTTGCACGAACATCACCACAACAAAAACTTATTATTGTTGAAGGTTGTCAAAGACAAGGTGCAATTGTTGCTGTTACTGGTGATGGTGTTAATGATTCACCTGCTTTAAAAAAAGCGGATATTGGTGTTGCTATGGGTATTGCTGGTTCCGATGTTAGTAAACAAGCTGCAGATATGATTTTACTTGATGATAATTTTGCATCAATAGTAACAGGTGTTGAAGAAGGTCGTTTAATATTTGATAATTTAAAAAAATCTATTGCATATACATTAACATCAAATATACCTGAAATAACTCCATTTTTAATGTATTTATTAACTGATACACCATTAGCATTAGGAACAATAACAATCTTATGTATTGATTTGGGCACAGATATGATTCCAGCTATATCATTAGCTTATGAACAAGCCGAATCTGATATTATGAAACGAAGACCAAGAGATCCGAAACATGATCGACTTGTTAATGAACGGTGGAATTTCAAATAAATAAATTTCGATTTTATTTTATTTTTTTTGTTTAGTCTTATATCAATGGCTTATGGACAAATTGGACCAATTCAAGCAGGTGCTGGTTTTTTTACATATCTTGTTATAATGGCACAAAATGGATTTCTACCATCCCGTTTATTGGGCCTTAGAAAATCATGGGAATCAAAAAATATCAATGATCTAGAAGATTCATATAGACAGGAATGGGTTTGTTTAAAATAATAAAAATTATTTTGTTTTATTTATATTTTCTAAAGACATATGAACAACGAAAACAACTTGAATTTACATGTCATACTGCTTTTTTTGTTACAATTGTTGTTTGTCAATGGGCTGTTTTAATAATTTGTAAAACACGAAAAAATTCCATTTTACAACAAGGAATGAAGTAAGAATATTATTCATTAAAATCATATTTACTGAAAAACGTTTTTTTTTCATTTAGTAATTGGATGTTAAATTTTGGTTTAGTTTTTGAAACCGTTTTAGCTGCAATTATATCTTATACACCATATTTAGATACAGCTTTGAATACTTATCCATTAAAGTAAATAGAAAGAAATAATAATTCGATTGAATTTTAATTATTTCTTTATTTAGATTTGTTTGGTGGCTTTTACCATTACCTTATTTTTTCTTAATTTTAATTTATGATGAAGTTCGAAAATATATTATTCGTCATAATCCTGGAGGTTGGGTTGAAAGAGAAACTTATTATTAAATTTCATATCGACTTTTACTTTTTATTCTCAATTTTGTTCAAAAGACTTCTTCTTTTTTCAATTAGAAATACTTCATTATTTACTTTATATTTTATTCTTATTTGTAATGAAACCTAATTTATTGTTCTAATTATGACAAAGATAATAAAACTAAAAACTTTTACTAATAAATAATATCGACGAAATTATGTAATTGTTACTAAAAGAGACAAAAAGAAAAACAATGTTGAAATTTTCAAAGGAAAAATGAATAATATCTTACCACAATTTCCAACTCCATCAATAAAAAATCTAAGAAGACGAGAATTAGTCCAATCCGTAACATATAAATTTCTATAATATTGATCAAATATTAAATCAAATGGTTCGCTTAGTAATTGTCTTGAATTTTGTTGAATTCCATCAATAATAATAGTTCCTGATTTCGCTTGTTGTGTCCATCTGACAATTCTATGATTACTTGTATCAGCTATAAAAATATCTCCATTTGAATGAAGAGCAATTCCTCTTGGAAAAGCTAATTGATGTGTTCCATTTCCTTGCCCATTGCCTCCAGCAATAACAACTCCTTCTTTAGCTCCTTTTATCCATTTAATAATTCTATGATTCGCACTATCTGATATATAAATTGCCTGATCATTTTCATTAAAAATAATATTTCTCGGTTGATTTAATTGATTTAAATTCGAACCTTTTCCATAACCACCAGCAATAACATGAACATTACTTTGTGTTGAATTTATTTTTTCCCATTTTGTTATACGATCTTTATTTATTTCTGATATAATTAATGATCCTTGATTATCGATTAATAAAGATTCACATTCAATATTTGGTATTATTGTATGACTAATTTTTGAATCTTTCATCCATTTTAAAACTCTTTTATTACCTTTATCACAAATAAATATATTTTCATTCATTTTATCAATAACAATATCTCTTGGGTATGATAATTGATCAGTTTCTTTCATTGAAATTGAAATTGGATTATTTATTGATTGTTCTGGTGTCCATAAAAGAATACGATGATTTCCAGAATCTGCTATATAGATTGAAGTATCATTTCTATCATCAAGAAATAATCCAGTTGGACCTTTAAGTTTATTTAAAACTGTATTACTATCAGATGACCAATCACATGATGGATGGAATGGTTTACTAGCTGTTGATGAAATAGGACGTGATGCTAAATATATTAACAAAATTATTTAAAATAATTTTTTTAAAGAAAATCAAACAAACTTGTTGTTATTGATGTTTTATTCCATGATGGACAAATTTCATTAGTTGCTTTATCCAATGGATAACATAATGATCGATAATCACAAAGAGGATGTTCAATACAAATAGAATTATGATCATGACATGTTTTACTAATTGTAGAACAAGGAATCATTGAAGAACAACGTAATGTTGTTAAACCACATATTCCCGAATCATCTTTTTTATCCCAACGATAAAAACATCCACATTCTTTATTTGGAGAACATTGATTATATTCACTAATACCATCACAAGTTGGAACACTTATTGATAAACCTAAATACAATTATATTAGTCTTGAAATTTAAATGAAAAAACTTACTACTAAGAATAATTGATAGAAAACACACAATATTGAATAACATTTTCTTTTTCGAAATGAAAGATAATAATATTGAAAAATATTTTTTGTCTCGTATTTATCTATTCACTGATTGTTCTACTCTCCTATCTAATACAACATGAGAATCATTGTCATATGTTTTAAGCAAAGGTTATAGGGTTATAGTCCTTCATATTTATATCGAATCTTTTGATTATCAATGAGAAAAAATATATAAAATCAGTGCATTTTGGTCATCATTTACCTGGATCAAAGTTGAAAATATTATTTTTCTTTTTTATGGACTTTGATCGGTTAGGTTAATGTTTTATCTAGAATATTTATAATTATTTCATTCGATAGTTTTATTGTTATTTAATAGTTAGATTTCAAATCTTTTAATAAATATAGTTTAAATCAGTATGATAAATTGGCGGTTATATTAAAAATGTCAATTTTATTAAATATTCTCTGGTTATTCTATAATCTATTGATAATTGGTAATAAATCTACAAAAGAAATAAGTTATAGAGGTATATCTATAACATGGCGTCGTCTTCCATCAATAAAATCTGATGTTATTTCACTGGAAATAATTCTATCAATATCTTTAACAGATAAAATATCTAATCTATGTGATTTTCATCATTCAAAATTCTATAAAATCGATGATAAGTTTGGTATAGAATGTATAGATTCATGGGATAATTGTATTTCATGGCCATTTCACATTTTATATATTGAATGTCAATCAAAAATTCATGGTAATTCAGATTTATTATTAGAAAAAAAAACGATTGATCGATAATTCTAGATTATCCACAGACTATGATTTTTAATAAAATAAATCTTTCACTTCCTTCAATATTTAATTCAAGTAATATTTATTATAAATTTCGATTTCCATCATTAAATTGTTCATGTTATTGGTATAATATTGATTCATCTGAAAATCAAATTGAATTAATATCTTATTTAAATTTAATTGAAATCGAAAAATTAAATTCTCCTCCAATAGCTCGTTTTCCTGAACATATTTATATAAATTTCAATGAAGATTTGATTTATTCACTTGAAATATTTGATCCTGATGAAGATCTATTTCATTGTTATTTATTATCATCATTAATCTCTTCAATAATAATTCAAGAAAATTGTATTTTAATAATAAAAGCAAACAGTCAAATAAATCAATATGAAATTCTGATTCAAATTGAAATTATTGAATATTTTAATAAGAATAAGAATCAAATACGTTCTCGTTTACCATATCATTTTATTGTATTTATTGATAATGAAAATAAAACAGATATATGTACTAATAAACCTTTGATTAATTTCTTAAATATTGAGAATAATTTAATTCATGTTGCATTAAATCAACCAATTGAAATTCATTTAATATCACAAAGTCAATGTCAAATTGAAATGGATGAATGTTTTATTCTAAGTGGATTTTATTGGAAAATAATTCAATCAATTATATATGAACATCAAAGTCAAATTCAATTACAATTTCAATGGATTCCAAAATCTATTCAACAATGTGGATATCATATTCATTGTATTCGATGTTTAGATCAATTTCAAAATTATAATGACAAATGTATTAATATCTTAGTTTATGGAAATGATTGTCGTAAGTTTATTCTTGCGTGTGGAAAGTAATTCAATATTTACTATTAGCGAGTTCAGAGAGTCACTAACAAAAATATATTCTATTAGAATAGAAAAGATATTTTTAACTTTTATATAATTCACGCAATCTATTTGGGATTAAAATATGGAACACGATATAGTTGCTCTAACGTCTGTCACGATCTCTACTCATCATCTGTCAATGTCTCTGATACAAATTATTATTCTCTTTCTCGTAGAGAAGAGTCCAGTAAACATAAATTGTCTGATTGCTTGTGTGTCCGCAGGGTCAAAAAAACATCAAAAAAGACATTTCTAGAAGTATTTCGATGCAGAGAGTTCGAATCTGAGGACTATTGAGTGACCGTGTGAAGGGGGGGGGACAAAGGTCAAAGGTAAAAAAAACATCGAAAACCGGTTTTTCCAGGAAATGTGAAGAAAATGCATTTCTATGAGAAAGAGCTAAGCGAGTCCTCGGACGAGCGTTACTTGTTAACTAATACGGATTGATAATGTCTGTGTAAGGTGAAAGTTTGTATCCCTAACACTTCAACATTTCGAACACATGTTTTAAGAATTTTTGACATGAGAAAGATATAATATAATTTATATGAAAGTGGAAGAAATTTTCTGCTTGATTCGAAACCATTGTTAATGTATATTTTTATCTTAGGAAGATTCTTCTATTATGATAGTTGTCATACAAAAATATATAGTTACTGTTATTGACTCTTAATAATGAAAGCTTTCTCTGCTAGTAGTACTTATTGACTAATTTGATCATTCTTATTTTACATATCTTCGAAATCAAGATCTTCAGAAAACTTGATATCTATAAGAATTTTGACTTTATTCGCCAAGATCTTCTTACTTCGAGACTCTTCGTTAACTTTCTTGTTGATTAAAATAGAAAAATGAGTAAATATATTTAAATCTACTTATTCAGATTTCTATAATATTCTCTTTCTCATAGAGAAGAGTCCAGTAAACATAAATTATCTGCTTGCTTGTATGTCCGCAGGGTCAAAAAACATCGAAAATCGATTTTCTGGAAAAGACATTTCTCGAGGTATTTCGATGCGGGGTGTTTGAATCTGAGGTCAGTTGGGTAACCATGGTGAGGGGTGGGTGTGGGTGAAAGGTCGAAAAAACATTGAAAATTAATTTTTCACGGTTTTCATTTGTTTTTCCAGTAAATGTGAAGGAAATGCATTTCAACGAGAAAGAGCTAAGCGAGTCCTCGGATGCGCGTTACTTGTATTTTTGTTGATTTTGTCTTTACTCTCTGAAAATAGTTTATAACATTTATGTTCACATAAATTAGATTTGAAGAAAACGAAACATATGAAGACATATTATAATATTACATTGAAAAGGATACCATTGAATTGATAGTTTCCTGTTATTAATATGTGAGAGAAATGTTTGAGTGATGAAATATTTAATTTAATATATAGTTACCTTGTATTGAAGACATTCACTAAGATAGATATAATCTTTATCTAGAAAATGTGAGTAATATAAATAAAATTTGTTCATGGTCTCCATTCAATATCTGGACAAAAAATAACGAAACAACATACAAACGTACTCGAATTTGTTATGATAATTCGAATTCAAAAAATGTATGTTCATTTTGTTATGGTTCCAGTATAGAATTTCAATCAAGTTTAGCTTTTAGAAAAGGTTTTTATCGAATAATTTTATTTTTTAAATAAACTCTTTGTTTTTTTCCTCTTAAATAGATTTGAAATTATTTGAAGAAAGTTTATTATCTCCAATTCGTGCACATTCAACAATGAAAATTTTATTAATAGTTACAATTATTTCCATAATCATTTTTCTTTTTACAATTTTTATTTCAATTTATTATGGAATTAAAAAGAATATTAAACAAAAAAAATTCATTTCCTAAGAACTTTTCTTTTTCTTTTCAGATAAATTCTTAGAAAATATTTTTTTTAAAATTAATAAAGCCCAATAAATATTTAATAAACGTGTTAATATACATAATACTGCTTGAATAAAAGCAATTAGAAATGAAGTTATATCATGAAAATTCCAAGCCATTTTAAGAAATTGTGGTGCAGCTCGAAATGCATAAAAAAATATAATTGATCCATAAAATAAACGACTGAGAAAAAAAGAAGCAACAAATAATAAAGAAAATATATGATGTAAACGTGGTTGATTACGGTAAATTGTTTTTAAATTTAATGGAATTGTCGAAAGTTCTTCAGCAAGATAATAAAAATGACATGAATGACCTACTTTACTATATAATCCAAGTAAAATTGATATGAGAATAACGATATGATGAATTATAGCTGAATTATTTCGAACTGATTTATGAATAAACATTAAAAATAAATCATAGATTAAATAACCTGTTGAATAACAAACACTATAAACCATTATTTCATCACCAGTACCAGATATTCCTCCACCAAGAATTCGATTGATTTGTTTAAAATTAATTTCATATTTAAAAAAAAAATTCACAACACCCACAACAGAAATAAATGCATGAATTGTTGATATTATATGACTTTTAAGAAATGGACTTAAGGATGATGGAAGAATTTTATACAATAATATGTTTATTATTGTTGAAATTATTATTAAACTCATTATTGGAACATTTGAGGATGGTGTATTACCCATATCTAAAGTTTGATTTAAAATATATTAATGATTATTTTTCTTTTTATATTAGAAAACTTACATTGAATACGAAGTTGATCATTTTGAGACATTATTTATTTGTTAGAGTATTTTACTCCGATAGGTAAAAAATATATAATATCATAGGAAGAATTTGTCTTTGACAATATTTTTCTTTCGTTAGACCTTGACGATTCTTTAAGATAAGAATGAACCAGAAGAAATTTTTCTTTTTATAATATAAATATATTGTCGATGTACTTGCTTCAGGATTTATGACCGACTGTTACTCGACAAATAATAAAGAAGGAAAAAGAACACGTTCATTCGCAAGAAGAAGAAAAAAAATAGGATTGCCATGTTTTCCAGAAACTATTCTTTTTCTCTTATCGATACGACATCTATAATTTCTCAGAAAAAACTTTTCTCTACTCATTATCTTTTAGGAATCAAACATGCATATGTGATCTTATACTTTCATTATTATTAATTAAATAATATCAAAGAAAAAATCATATTTTATTAGTTTAATATTACACATATACGCACAAATAATTTCAAATTATTTTCTCTAAATAAAGGAAACCGTTCTTCTCTATTTAACTATATAACATAGCTTTTTTTCCATGGGGAAAAGAATAAAAAGTATTTTTCTTCTAAAATAACATTATTCATTCATTCTTCATTTCTGATTGCTAAACATAAATACTATTTTTTTAATTATGATGCACGATTTTATCAACATAAGGCTATAGTTTCAATATTTCATTACCATTGAAGATTGTTGATGTTAGGAATTGTATATTAAAAATAAGCTTGTGCTAAGAATAATGACTTGTAATAATTAATGAAGATATTTCTTGTCTTGTAAATATTTTCACTTCTATAGACTTCGAATAAAATCATAATTATTTACTCAAAAATTTTTAATCTCAAACATTGTTTTCTATATAAATAAAAAATATTTAAAAAAAATAATGAAGGCGAATGATATTAGAGATTCAATTAGTTTCATTTATATAAATATTCAAAGATGAACAATGATTGCATTGATGATTTAATAACACATTGGAATCCGATATTGACTTTAATTGTTATATTTATATAAAATAAATGTGGTAACTTCGGATTCCATCCGAGAGTTATGTGTACTGCAAAAAGTATATATAGAAATCATAGAAAAATATCAGTATTTTTGCAATAACTCGGGAATGGCCCGGCCAATCAGGCTGATCTTCGAACTCGACCAAGATTTTGATGAGACAGTTCTGTGCACAAAATTTCAGCTCAATCGGACTATTCTTTTAAACGTTATTGTGCATACGGACGGCCACACTGACCGATTCTAGTAGTGTACTCACTTTTTGAGTACACAAAAATATGTGAGAAAGAAATGTCTAATTTATTTTACTTACTTACTGAATATTATAAAATTTGATCTGAATGTTAAAGAATATATTCCATCAAATGAGTCAATAAAATCAAAGCTTTTCTATATTTCATTGAAATGCTTCTTCAGAATGATTGTCAAACAAGTAAAATACAATTGTGAATATAAACAATTTTTTTTATTTAAAAAATATTGTTACGACTAGAAAAATTTTACAAAAAAATCGAATAAGATTAGTCAATAGATTTTATTTTGATAATTTAATTTCCAAACACAATAAATATAATGAATGATTGGTTTTTCTTCGATTAATGTTAAACAAAAATTTGTTAAAAATAATCCAATAGCAAAACATATTTGTGCGAAAATATTCTCAATTAATATTTGACTTAGATAACATAATATAAATGACATGGATAATATTAATAGATAATGAGATGAAAATAGATAAGATTTTGTCCATTGAATTCGAGATAGATATCGATTTATTAAAAAATAATTTATTAATATTCTTCCTAATAAATTTAATGAATTTAATATTATTATTGAAATTATACCGAACATTTTAATAAATAGAAAATTTAATATTAAATAAATCAATGAATAAAATAATAAAAGATTTTTATAATTATTTAATTGTTTCACGGACATTATTGATTGAATAAATGATTCATTTAAACAATTTATACCATTTAATAAGATATTTATTAAATATAAACGAAAATAAAATATTAATTGAGAATTTATTGAGAATTTTGATCCAATATACAAATCAATTAGATGAGAAGAATAAGGGATAATAAATATTATTAATAAGATCGATATTATTACAAATAAACGAATTAAATTATTTAAGAATGTTAATGCATTTAATTTTATTGTACGTTCTTCTACAATAAAAAATAAATACAATAAAGTGAAAACGTTTTTAACGTATCTCAAACATATCAGTCAATAATAAAATACTCGACTAGTGTTTATTGTCATTTCTGTCTTTGAAAATGTTATTCACTATAAAGATGTTCAAATTTAACTAAAATTCATTTTGGAAACTAGGAGAAGAATACTCATGATGAGAAATAATAATTGAAGAGTAATCATTTGTTTATTATTAAATAATCTTTGAAATTCTCAACTCATTGCAGATTTCCGTTGTTGACAGTTTAAAAATCTATATTAAATTGTCACGAAATAAGATAAAAGATTGGTTTAAATATAATTATGTCTGATGATGCATAAAAACGATTTTACTAATGCACTTATGATCTTCTAGCTAAGAAGGAGAATATTTCATATTCGAGATGAGAGATGTTTAGAGTCAATTTTTTCAGAAAACTCTAATTATCTCGTAGTACTCTATCAAGTGCTGAATATTAGTTGATGTGTATAGAATAATATTTTTCTATTGAAAAAGAATTAATGAAATGTGTCACATACCATTTGGTGTAGGTGGTTGATAATTATTTCGAGAAATCGTTTGATCATCTTTTCTTCGTTTTACTAACATTTGATCATCTTGAATAAAAAAATAATTTTGACTAATATTTTCATTTAATTTTGTTCTTGAAAATGTTTGTTGAAAATAATTCAAAGAAATTTGTTCTATTGTTGAAAAAATTAAACGTGGAAAAATATTTGTTAATAAATAAATAATATGATAAATGCCTTGTTCTTCATAAGATATAAGATTGAAAAAAATCATTAAATATTTTTCACCTTCTGTTAAAATTTTTATTGATATTCCTTGTTTAAAAAATTTCAATGTATTATTTACAAGTTTATGATCAACAAATGGAGATGTAGGTTTTAATAATAAATCGGATAACGATGATATTATAAACAATTCACGACGTTTTTCTTTTTTTTGTTTTAAAAAATATATATAATAACTTAATGTTATTATTAATGAATAGATTATATAACCAATACCATAATAATATAATGAACATTCAGGATTGTTTATTATAAGATATGTTTGAAGACCAAATCCTATTGAAAAGAAAAAATGAATGAGAAATAAATCAAATTGATTTACCTATAATTGAAGCAATAAATTGTATATAAATATTAATAGAATAATTTCTTGTAACTGTTATTAATAAATAAAATGGTTCGGATAAAAGTTCAATAAAAGCAGCGCATGCATACATAAAACAAGCTTGATTATAATATGGAATTAATAATATATTTGATGAATTCATTCGAATAAATAATGTTAATAGAAAAATAAATGAAATAAAACTTATTCCAATCGATATAATAAACCATATTAAATTAATATAATGATAAACTGAATGAATATTATTAAGTTTAGGTACATTATGTCTTAAAGATTCTCTTGTTAAAAATAATATTGTTGTATAAATTAATTCTAAATGAATATTAGCTAAACCAATTATATTCAAATTAATAGAACGAAGAATTAATCCGTTGAAAATTAAATTTATTAAATAAAATAAGATTTTAGAAATTAAATTTTTGATTGTTTCATTTTGAATTATTGAAGAAATAAAAGACATAATTAGTTTTTTGTTAAATGATAAAATAAGAAGATCTTAGTTAAAGAAGAAAATAATCTTATATAAGATAACCAATATAAATCCTTTTCATCTCGTGACATCTATTTGAATAAAATAAAAATGAAAATTTTTATTGAAAAATCTTTAATTAATCTTCAATTTAAATATTTGAAAAAAATATTTTTTATGTTAAAATCCTTAGGAGGAAATAATGGATATTTTTACAATGAATTTCATTGGTTATTGTTTATAAACCATAAGATGATCAAAACTTATTTGTTTTACTTTTCGTTTTTTTTTTCCTATTAGAATTATGAAAAAACTAATGATTTTCATTTCTTTTTTTAGATAATTATCATTCTCTGTAAAAGAAAATAAAATAAAAATGGGTCCACGTAAAGGTCAAGCAGTAGCTAAAGTGGAACAAGTTAGTTTAGGTCCACAAATTGCTGAAGGAGAACTTAATTTTGGTGTTGCACATATTTATGCAAGTTTCAATGATACTTTTGTTCATGTCACTGATCTTTCTGGAAAGTAAGATTTCAATTTTTTTTGTTTAAATAAAAAAGAAAATCAATTCATTTTTTTATTGTTAATTCTTCAAGAGAAACAATAGCTCGTGTAACTGGTGGAATGAAAGTTAAAGCTGATCGTGATGAAGCCTCACCATATGCTGCTATGTTAGCTGCACAAGATGTTGCTGAACGTTGTAGAGGTTTAGGTATTACAGCATTACATGTTCGACTTCGTGCAACTGGTGGAAATAAAACTAAAACACCTGGACCAGGTGCTCAATCAGCTCTTCGTGCTCTTGCTCGATCTGGAATTAAAATCGGAAGAATTGGTTTGTTTTAATTTTAACTTTTTGATTCAATAAGAAAATCTTCTTTTATTTTTTTCTTGTAGAAGATGTAACACCAATTCCATCAGATAGTACACGACGAAAAGGTGGTCGACGTGGTCGTCGTTTATAAACATCAAATATATTTACAACACACAAATGTTTATCTTTATATTCATCAAAGATTTTTTTATTTTGTGTGTATGTTTATTATTGTTTAAAAAGAGCCGTTTATTTATTCATTTGTCATCTATATGAATAACAATAAAGGAGAAAATATTTAACATTAACTATTTTATTTGTTTATCTTTGACAAAATAAAATATATATTTTTCATTTTCAATAACATATTTTATTATAGAACCAATTCATGAAGATTTTCTAAAGAACTCATTTGTGACAAAACAAAAAGTAGCAAATAAAGTTCTTTTTATATTATCTTAATATTTTCTGTCAATCAATACATTGATAGAATATCATATGAGAGTAATTAAATAATAGAGAATAATCTGATTTTAGTATTAAAAAATCTTCTCAATTGCCCAACCATTTCGATCATATAGAAGATTGTTGTATTTTATTAAATTTACAAGATATTTGTTAATTATCCATCAATGCTTGAATATTTTTGAAAAAAAAAAGAAAAGATAAAATAGAAATTTATTTTTTTGAATTATTATCTTGATCGTTCTTTGAAGTAATTGTTGTTAATCCACCTGCTCCTGTATTAGTACCTAATCCAGATGTTGGTCCTAAACGTTCTTCACCTCCACCAACATGAGAATGAGCAAGACTTCCTGTATCGGGCATAGCAGGTGCAACACCAATTCGTTCATATGTTCCAGTTGATGTTGCTGTTGTTCCAACTGTTCGTTCTAAACCAGCTGTTCCTGAAACTTCTTCTCGAGGTTCAGCTGATGTTCCTTTTTTTCCATCGTGTTCCGACATTATATTTAAATAATCTATAAAATAAAAATTTGATTTATATGCCAATCAAATATATTTTTTCTTATCGCATGATTTTCACCATTTTTCAAATGAATTCTATCGTTTGACCTCTATAGTTTATTAAATACGCCCTCTGTAAACATATATATATATTGATCACAAAAAAAAACTTATTTTATTTTTTATTTTTAAAAAAAGATGATTTTAAACAAGTGGATAGCTAGCTGAAGTGGCAATTCCACATTGATTTTGTTTATTACGACTCATCCAAATATAACCTTGTTTACCCCAATTTGTTCCCCAAGAATTTTTAACAATATAATAATCTTGATTATTGAAAGTATCATATCCAACAGCTAAAACACCATGATCAAGTAAATATGGTAAACAATGAGGTTCATCATATACTCCAGTTGAATAAAATTGAAATGAACTTCTTGATGCATCAATAGCAACAGATATTGGACCTATTGTTGCAATAGCAGCTTGAAGATCTGTTTCATTACCCATTTTAATTTGAACAAAACCCTAAAATACAATATTTTATATTTTTGTTATTAAATAAAAATATTTACAGTATCGGTAGCACCAACATTTTTTGGATCAAAATTACATTTATGACGTTTAGCTTCATAAGGATAAGTCGATTCTGTATCAATTCCACCATTAGATTTAATATATAAATAAGCAATTTCCATAATTCCTCCATGACATCCTAAATTAACTGAGCAATCAACTAAATTTTGTTCAGATAGTGAAACAAGTTCTGATGTTTTAGCAAAATGTTGTCCTTCAAGTGTGCCAGTTGTTGAAAAAGCCCAACATGAACCACATTGTCCTTGATCTTTAACTGGTGTCACATAACCTTTCGTCCGCCAATCTATTGAATAATATATATTAAATATAATATACGTATATATATTTGAATAATCTTACCAACAGAACTTGGTAAAACAATATTTGATGGAGCTAAAAATGTATGACGATCCATTTGTTCTGTTTCACTTTTTAAATTCATTTTAAAACCATTCATTTGTTTTCGAAATTCTTCATTTGTCTTAAAATATTTAAAAAGAAAAGAAAAATTCTAGAAAAACATTATTTTTATTTTTTAATATTTACCATATCACCAAATTGATTCATTTCAAGTGTATATTTATGCATACCAATATCAGATTCAAGATTATGTTTTTGAATCATTGCAAGATTTTCTTCCCAAATATGACGACTAATTTTGTATAAATAAATTTATTTTTTCAAAAAAAATGTTTTTAAACAAACCGATTTATTTCTTCTTCATTTGATGAATATTCTTTTCCAAAGACACGTTTAAATAAAGACCATGAATCATCTAATTGATTATTAAATGTTGGAAAACAATGTCCATTGAGAAAAAGTACACATAATATAAAAAATGATTTCATTCTTGACTTGAAGATATGTAACTTGCTACTTATTAAAACAAAAATAATCGCTATCTTTATATACAGACAAGAGTTTTTCTTCTGTTTAAATCACAATGCTCGTTGAGATAACAAAATGATATCACATAATCTAACATTGATAACTGTTTATTTTTGTATTTTATGTTCGATGAAGAAACATTTGAAGTCATAATTAAGTTATATAGATCAATTTGAAAAGCTTACATATTTTCTTATAGTATTAAAATATAAACAGTATAATATAAGTTTCGATCTCATCTGTATTTTGTATATAGCTCTTTTTTCTTGCTATCGCTTACATATCATTTTTTATCTCAAAGATGTACCACGCAATTCTCGATAAAATGAAAACATGTTATACTCTTTATAGATGTCATACAATTAAAAATTGAATACTTCAGTATCATCATATAAAAAAAAGGGATCTCCGCGCAAAATTAAATAAGTTTTATTTTTTTTTCTGATTACTGTTTTTCATGCTTTGTACGCGGATGTAGTTTTTTCTATTCATTATGATATTAACAGTAAACTGAAATTTTTTAATCGATTAACAAAAAGAATAAGATTTATCAATGAATCCAATACATAATCTGTTTCGAAGAGCATCATCTAAGGTAGATATATTGTATATCACAAATAGTAATTCCAGTTATTATATATGATTTCATTAGGTCAACGTAAAGAAGACCATATCGCAAGTTCGTACAGTACTTAATGGACGGACAGAAGATGAACAAGTTAAACATATTTTGCGGACATTGAATAATACAATACATAAAGCGGCACCAATCATTGAATATGTGATTGATGATGTCTCATCGAGATTTTCAAAAGTAAATATATTTAGTTTAACTTTCAGAATACTATCGTAGATTTCATTTAGACAAAAGAATCTACAATAAATCCTTCATTACGTAAGTTTTTGTTATAGAAAAAAAATGTCAAGTTTATACATTTCATAAGAATTAAGTTTTCGAAACAACATCTTTCATGTACAAATCATTTGAAAAATCTTCGATCCAAACTATGAATCATTTTTCCAACTTTAGTAAATCTTTCAATAAAAAATCAAATTTTTATGAAGATATATTTGCTAAGAAAAATTGGTCGTGGGAGATAATTGTACTTATTATTATTGTTTTTGTTCTCATACTTATTTTGATAACACTACTGATGACTGAAGTCATCATGAAAAACAATAAGCAAACAGAAGAAACGAATTCATTGAGAAGATCAATGGATTCAGTATCTTCAATTAATCTAGATTGATGACGAATTCTTATCGAAACTACATTCAAATATAAAAATGTTTCTATTATCATTTGAAAAATTGATAAAGAATATAATCATATATCATTATGCATTTTATAAAATACTTGTCTTTTATTGCTTATGGCGTATTCTTCAGTCATGACAATTATATTTTCATATGTAAACGACGATCATAATCATCCTTCGAATCTAATACAAGCTAGAGCTTCCTTTTATATTACGACAGAAAATATTGAATACAACCAGATTTAAACTTAATTATTACTATAGTATTATTTTATATACTATTCAATACAAATAGGCTATAGAACTTGTGCTTTTTATACATGATAATCTGTCAACGGTTCGTGAGAAACATAATAATGAACGGTTTTATTATATCACATAGTATACTACAATACAACAAACATAATGTTCTTCTGTTCTTGTACACATCAGAATAACAGCAAAGTTCAACTTGAAAAAATAAAACATGTCAGTTCTCAGTAATTCGTGATCTTTGTTTGCTTTAAATAGATGGCATAATACAACCGGACGCAGTAAAATTTTGAATTCGATTTTCCGCAGAACATATAATGTTATCTGTATTGTTGTACGTAGGATATATGAAGTTAGGCTAGTCTATGGGGCCTTTGAGAAATTTTTGCCGGATTCATATCGGATAACTTTTAATGACTGACGATCGTAGTGCTACATCAAACTATTGATAAATTTGACAGATAATTTGTAGAACCATTACGCTGTAAATAACTGAATGTCGGTAACATATCCTTGAAATCATTTCAAAACAAAAGTTATCCAAAAATAACATTACATATAAATCATCAAGGTTTATCTTCTTTTATGAATTAAATGTAGTAAATTTTTCTTTCATTGAAGATTAGGTTCGGATTGCTTGTTCACAATCTATGAATGTTATTAATATAATTAACAATTTATTAGCAGTTGGTTGTGTATTGATTAATTTCTACACTAAAACTAAGTATACGTATAATATAAAGTGAACTTTTCTTTTAATTTCACACAATCGTACTGGTAATAACGTAAGTAAAGTTAGCAGCAGATTCGAGTATTCGTTGCTGACATTCGCCTATGGACTTGGGCTATGGCTAAGATATCTTGGGCCGGATAGAGAATTTAATTCTGCATCGAATGGTGTATTTCGATTTGGGGGTCATCGAGCAAAAAATGGGTGTTTGGGTGAAAAAACTGGGTGAACGAGGAGTTTTATTCAGTTTCACCGAGTAATCCCTGCTGACATTCGCCTAGGGACTTGGGCTATGGCTAATACTCCTGGGCTGGATAGAGAATTTA